TACCTAAGTCATTTTTCACAGTTATTTTTCACAATAGTTTCAACTTATTTTGCTTTTAAAAAGTGGTGGGGACAAAATCGGCCATTTCAAAAAGTGGTGGGGATATGTCCCCGGTGTAAAGGACACTTCAAATGACTCAGAGGACTTCTATGACTTGAACGGGCATCAAACTCCCCTGGTAGAATCATCTGGTTCATTGATAAAGGTTGACGCTACAAAGGGAGAAGTTAACTACGACTCCCTAGATGCACTTCAGCAAGAAAACATCCAATCAACAAGCTTTAAACTGTGCATTTATACGAATTTTGGATGAATTCAGAAACTGCAACGACTGATTCGCACACCTAACGGGCCTGGGTAATGGGTAGTGTAGTATTTTGAATCTCCCACCATGCCAGACTGACAGATAAAATATTATTCCTCTAAAAACAAATTATAATTAAAACTGTTTGCCACAGGAGAGTCCCATGTTTCCATGTCCAGAAACATTGACAATATCATTAAATTGGAATATGAAATGGGGGAAAAACGCTCTCAGAGCAAAAAGGTTGGTTAGTCAAACCAACCAAGCAACGGACAGTCTGACATTGCCGTCCCGTGAGCCATGTTGCTATCTTGGTTAAAAAATATTAAGACAGATTCATTGTTTTACACCCTGACACACTTAAAGCTGCAGAGGAAAATGATACGTCACATCAGCAGTGAGCCGGCTGTGGCTGCTGTCGTCTGATTTTCATATAAAGCTTTACGTCAACCCAGTGTAACAGCCAACCCCACAACACATATACTGGAGGTCTGCCATGCACACCCACATGAATGGCATTTAAGAAGGATGAAAAGGAGTAGATGCAGTGAAATGCTGACAACATCGGCCCCAGAGGAGAAGGCTCCAGGTGGGGTTGTCGGAGCGTGGAGCTCCTTCCCACTGTACCTCCTCCAGGAGACATAACATGGCTGGGTGAACTCCCCTGTGCGGGGCCCTCATTCTGTCTGTGTCACATCCCATTTGTAATGCTCACGATAGGTGACATACACATACACACACACACACACACACACACAACTCCGAATCACCATTGTTTTGTTTTGTTTTTTCTGAGATGTTTCTCAGATGTATTCCAGCTGTGTAAAAGTCTACCACACAAGAAGACGCTGTATGTGCGCGTGTGAGAGTGAGTGGGTTTACATGTGTACAGTGCACGTCTAAGGGATTAATGTTCAGGAAGTGATAGCCCTGCCATCTACAGTACAGTAATATTACCTGTTTTTATTCAGCATCACACTTCCCATTAGGATTCCATAAAGCATTATTACTGCGTATGTCACTCTCCATCTCTGCTGCTATTACTCACTACTATTATTTCCTGGCTTTCTGTCTAACGGCTTACCTTCTCCTCCTGTCAATTTCCCCTTCAGCCCACCCTCACGCACAAGCCTAACATTTTAAAAACTCTCCTAATTAAAGCAGAAAGTCATTCCAAGCAGATGGCATGAGATGGCCTGGGTAATTATTGCCGAGTGAACCATGGCCCCTGCAGACCTTGAGTGAAATGAGTAGCGAGCTCAGTTGGATTGGGTAAGAAGCTCAGACGACGTGGGCACATCTGGACCCTCAGAGGCCATTTAATGGATCAACCTGAGATTTTCAAGGTCTTCGTCATGTGATCAAATAAAGCCTTAAACACGGTCTTAATCTGCACATACTGCAGCGCCTTATGTGCTCAGCACTGCCCTCATCTCTGCTTTTGTTCATCTCAAGGGAGTCAGATTAATCAACACAATATTAAAACCCATGCAGGGATTTGGGTGTATAGGAATGGAGGGTTTTGTTTGGGAAGTAAAAATGTTCAACTTGGCCCTGAATAAGAATTTTAATGTGCTGTATCATCTTCCAGGATTTTGTAGGGAAGATCTTATGAATCTCATTATTCTGTAGAGGAAGGTGTTGTGCCTTTAAAACTCGTACTGCAGGGTCTCTCTCCTTCTCTCCCGCCACACCTACTTACATGAGTGATAAATGGGTTTTGAAGATATGCATGCAAAATGTGTGTGTGTGTGTGTGTGTGTGAGTGAGTGTGTGTGTGTTGTAGGAAACACCTGTTTTTGTTTTGTTTTTTTAAATGCGAGCACACCACTAATGAGTTTATACACTTGTGGGAGGTGTTGGTTAAAAGGATCACAATCCTCCTTTACCCTGTCATCATCCGGCTTCACCTTTTAACAAAGGCCCACCATCCCGCTCTCTAATGAAGACACAAGTGGCACTTAAGTTGCTGAAAAATAACAATCAAAAATGTGTTGTGTTATTTTTTTTTGTAGTGGCAACTTAGACAAGGGACTGGGTATTAGGGAAACAAGTGACCCATGTGTGAAGGAACAAAAGGAGGAGAAGGGAGTGTTTGTCTCAGTAGTGAAATGGGGTCAGTTCATTACGTTCTGCAGGAAAGGCGAGAAAGAATGTTAATTTAGATTTTTGAAGTGAAATGTAACAAGGGCCGATTGTGAAAACACATTTACCGCTGGAACACACGTCCTATTAGAGCGGCGCTGCGAGACATTTCATAAATTCTTTTCACACCGTCAACAAGCCGAGATGAGCCGTTATTGGTTTGACTTTGTTACTCTGACACGGGAGATAATTGAGAATGAGGCAATTAAACAAGATTTAGAATTAGACACAAGTAGGTTTATAATCTGAGTGCTTCTCGTTGGCAGGATACCCCGCTGGGCTGCAGGAACAAGACCCCATCACAGATAACTCTGTAGGTGACCCGTACTGTAAATGTGAGAATTAGATTTCAGAGGGATTTAATGCATTTTGAAAGAGAGCCAAAGAAAGTGAGAGACAGAGATGGTTGGTATAAAAAAAAAAAAGTCACTTAAATCTCTCTAAACAGTCCAGTCTTTACTGTCAAGCTGCCATTATTGAGATGAGATGTGGTCCGTGGTGATTAAAATACTACAATACTCATCTAGGTTAGACAGGATTGTAAAGGACAGTGCAAGAACACACAAGGATTGTAAAACTTTATAATTTTGGTGAAATAATGTAATTATATATATAATTATAAATGAATAAATGTTTTAAATTGAAATGATCTTTGAAAAAAATTCAAATATTTAAAAACTCCTCTTTCACTGTGATGAGCCACTGTGGAGAAAAATGGCTCTGAGAAACGCATTATTTAGCCTCCGCATTGTTGTCGGGGTGGAAGTGGGCCGCCGACATTTTTGAGATTTTCAAGTGGGTGATGAGTTGGAAAAGGTTGTGACCAGCTGTTGTAGAGACACAAATTAAACATTGTTGCAGCAGCCAAATGTAAATGTGATCTTGAGTTTGAGCGTCGAGTCGATACAGACGTTTACTTTTTAACTCGTTAGTTTCGTACTAAACTTCCCACTTTGTTCAGCTGCACCATCTCTACAGTTTAACTAAGAGAGTGAAAGCGCGTTTCATCAAGTGCAGCATTGAAATATTTTGGGAGAGAAAGCAGCTACTAACTAATGATGGAAATGAATGAGTTTTACAATTGACTTTTTCATTAAAAAAAAAAGAAAGTAATATAATGTGTGAACTAAATACTGTAACATTCTTTACAACTTGTGTCAATCATTAATCGATTGCTTCTGTTGTACTTGGATGAGGATTTACAGCTGGATCACACACAAACACGGTGTTTCTAAAATGTCAAAAAAGGATTCATCTGGTGGCGGATGAAGGGCTGAGACCAGCTGACACGAGGCAGAATGCAAATACGACACAATGATGTCGGTCGTTTACAGTTTTCAACCACGTCTTCTTTTGCACGTTGACCATAATCAGTCGAGTCACACTGTCTTGTTTCTCCTGGTTTCATTGTATCTACGTCTGAAATCAAACCTACGCCCGTGGAATGGAATGAGCCGTAGCCGACTGAGGACACCCCCGAACTCCACCGCCTTTTTGAAATGAGTTGGAGTTAGCAGTGAGAGCGGCGTGAGCTGAGCGCAGCAGAGAGAGGCTCAGCTTGCTCTCTCTCCTTACAGCCCCTCAGCTAAGCTTAAGATCCCCGCGCATCTCTAAACGCTATATCTAATTTGAAGCATCAGAGCCAAGATGGGGCCGGCTTAGGAACAGTTGTGGCTGTGTAACAGCACCGGAGGGCCCAGCCGAAGGCCTTTTAGCCGGTGATTTATTAGACCGTACTGCGGGTCCCTCCTGGAGTACCAGACTGAGGAAAATGAATGGCTCTGACCTCTGCCTGCTTCTGGGCGCTCTGGCTGAGCTTAGTTGCTACAGGTGGACGGTGTTTTTGTTTGTTTTTATATATATGTGTGTGTGTGTGTTTCATGACTCTTTGAACACAGCAGGTTGGAGAGATTTTGGGTAGCAACCGTGATAATCTCAGGGCTGTTGCGTGTAAGTTTTGATCACACTCAGGTTTCCTCTTATCGCTTAAACAAGCCTTCTCCTGACATGTTTTTGATTTTCTAAACCTCAGCACACTTGACATGTTTATCAGCCCGTGGCCTTGCTGGCTGGCTTGTAGCTCTCTGCGGTAAACAGGTTTGCGAAGTAAAGGGTTTAACCTCCCCGAGCCTGCAGTGTTCGGCAATCAGCATCCATTTCACTGCTCTGTGATGGAAAACCTGGAGCAGAGATTAGACTGTTTTTTGGAGACCAGCACATGGAGAGAGGGGAGGCAGACGGGGTGGGGGTGGGGGGCAGACAGCACAATGAATAAGAGTCAAGAAAATAGGGAAAGTGGAGATAATTAGTGAGGGATATCAGGAGAAAGGGAGCACTGGGATGGAGAGAAATAATGTGAGCGATGATGAGTCTGATCTCTTCTGATGAGGGAGATGATTGCTGGGATTCAGATAATGGGACCAGTTTCATGACGGAGCTTAAACCCGACCGCAGACCGACAATGCTCTCGCACTGTCTTTAACTTCCTGTTCTCACTCTTGTTATTCTCTCTCTCTCCTTTTTTTTTTTTCTTCTTTCTCTCGCTGAGCAGCCAGGAAAACCTGCGCCCCTGCAGAGTTCGCCTGTTTAAACGGCCAGTGTGTCCCGGGACGCTGGCGCTGCGACGGGGAGCCGGAGTGTCCCGATGGCTCTGACGAGGCCGAGGAGACCTGCAGTAAGTGAAGCCACTCAGCTGCTCACATCAAGGACATCTTACAACCATATCTGAAGTTTTTCTTAATACGACTTGAGACAGGACAGCAAAGACTGACAGTTTATCCAGATTATCTGAACCAGTGGTTCTCAATCTAAGGGGTCACAAGATGAATCCAAACGGCCGTGAAAGGGTTACTTATTTATATTTGACAATATTGTTTCTCCTCTCTGTCTTTTAACACAAAGAGTTATTTCACTTATTTTCTGGTTTTTATATTTGGCTTGTTTTGCCTTTTCTTGTTTTACTGATATGTGATTTCAAATTATTTTGTTTACCTCAAGAAGTCTAACGCCCACTTTGTGGAGGCTAATGAGGATCCAAATAAAGAATAAAGATTACCGGGAGCGCAAATAAGAAAAACAAAATTCACCTTCCTAAAATTATGATTATTTTTCAGACTTTTCAGGCTTCCATAAATACATCCTGCCGAGGCGATGGGGTTCCTGTAGTAAATGTTGCATCGCATTAAGAGGACACCAGCAAAAGAAAATTAAAATTTAAACCAATTTATTTGAAGGGAAAACCAAAAGTGAACAGACCCATACTGTCAGTTATAATCCCGTCCTGCACAGGAACATTTTGAAACCATGCTAAGTACAGTAGGTCAGAGTTGAGTCTGCACAAAGTCTGGAAGATGTTTGAATAGAAATTTCAATGTTTGTTTGAAATAAGTTTCACTAAAACCTGCATGTTTTGTCTGTCTGCCTGTCCCACTGGACTTTGTGTCACTACATCACCAGGTCTCAGCAATTAACCTGCTCAATCAGGATTTACAACGAAAACAAGCCGGGCTGAATGAAATTTCCCTTTTAAGGTTTTTCCAAGTTGTGTTTATTTTTGAGCGTCTGATTGGCTCATTGATCTCAACTGTTGCAGCCAGTCGGATTCTTTACACTAAGAGAGAAAAGGAGAAGCTGTGGCTGGGTGATTGCGTTGCCGTTTTTGCGTGTTGCATCTGGATATGCGGTCGCACCATCAAGTCAGTCATTTTAGACCAGATTTAATTTGACTCTCCAAGAAGCTGTGTTCAGGTGGCTAATTTCCCTTGTTATCTCAGCTCCGGCGGCAGTTCAGCCGCCTCCGTCGCCTGCCTCCAATCGCCCACGCACTTCCATTCTCAATGCTGTCTGATGGCGAGTGCAAGAAAGGCCTCCATTACTTCTCTGCCAAGCTGTTAGAGCTGAGGATCTCTGGCTGGCTCACTTTTAGCCGGTGCCAGTCTAGTGCACCCACACACTGAGTCCCTGATTTGGGGGGGGGGGGCGAGGAGAGTTGATGTCTCCACAACCAAGCAGGGACACACGAGTGGGAGGCTTGAACCAATTATTAATTGTTTTCTGTCTTTCTTAAATGCTAATTTCTCTGTCTCCCCTGGCTCCTGGTTTCTCTCTGGGGGTTACAGATATCAGACAGAGCTGAGGGCACTACACTGATAAATAATGACGTCTTAGGGAAAAGCAGAGAGCATCCACACATTACAGCCCTATCAGGTCTTCATATCATACATCACGTTGTAAGTGCGGCGAGATCTGCAACATACAAGGGACCAAAAGCACAGGAGGGTTAAGTGCTCAATTAAAAACATGAACTGTGACTCTCAGCTAAACCAGCTGTGTGTGGCAGCAACAAATATTCTGTGGCCTAACTTTATCTTTCAAAAGGAATTAAATTTTATCAATTATTTACCGTGGGGCTTTTCTGAGCGGAGACTGACCTTTTATATCTCGTCCTCACAAACGTCAGAGAAAAATTTCCAGTCAGCATTATTTTTTAATTCTACAAAATATTTGAAATATAGAGATTTGGATAAACATATTCTTGCGATGAGTGACGATCCCACAAGAGCAAACAGCTTTTCTACCAAAAGTGGAACAGTTTTGTTTATTTCACACAAGGGATTTCTGATTTTCTTTCTTCTCTATGAGCTCTTCTAACTGGTTTGCGGAGGGCAGGGCGAAGTTAGAAAAAGGTGATGTCATAGAGATGGAGATTAGTTTAGCTTTTGAGTGCTAAATTATTCATTAATGATATGTAAATAGGTGTTTTTTTCTTTTTCTTTTTTTCCACTTTTATTGTTACCATGAATATTTAACTTTATGGAGAAATACTAAGGATTTGAAGCCAGTGTTTTTTAAAGGTTTTGCAGGATCTGTAAACGATCGTTCTTGCCTCCTAGATGTCGCACTCGACCACCAGCATCTCGGAACGAAACAAATGCTTCTTCGGCCACAACTCGGGCTACTAAACACACAACGAGATGCACGACTGAATAAAGTTTCCCTGTGCACACCAGAGCCAACAAAAAACAATCAAGCCAAACCCATTAGCCCATGCTAGCATTGTGGTGGTGATGATATTAAGCCAACTAGCGATAGCAACATTTGATGAACAAATTCATTATATTGGTAACAGCAAGTTAGATAAAGTTGTCATGCCTACTGTAGCCGGTTACTAATGACAACAGACATGTAACATTATGTAGACATCAAGTTACTTACATCCAAGAGAAGAAAAGCCTGTTCCGAGTCAAAGAGTTCTCCATCTCAGTAAAACCAGAGCAGTATTGGCTCTATGGTTGGACTGGGAAAGAAATTGAGCCTCGGATTTATCTGCTGGGGCCGGCCCGTATGAATCGCACTCAATTCACGCCGGTAAAGACACTGACGGTTTAAAAACTTTATGGATATTTGAACATTTCACCATATAAAAAAAATCAAAATCTGGTAAATAATGAACCATTTATGACGTGCAAGAATGGGGACATATAATTTTACAATAATAATGTCTTGTCAGAGTTTTCAGATGTAATAGAGCAACGATATTGTGCAACCTGTTTGAAAATAATATGTTTGTGCTCCAGCCACAATATCCTACTTTGATCTTAAAAGTCTTTTTTTTAAAGTTGCTGTGGGAGGGAATTAAAATGCATCCAGCCGAGCGGGAAATGAATCAAGAAAAAGCCAAATGAATCTTTCAGAGGATATTCATTCTAGTTTTGTTACATTTTATTGGCTGTGGGTGTGTGGGTCGGTTCGATGAATAATGTAGCAGCCAAGCTAAGCTTCTAATGTCACCCCCAGAAAGTTGAGTGCAAGGAGGGGGACATGAAGGGACCTCTGAAGGATAACAAGTTTATATTGGAAATCCAATTAAAGATAAATGAAGGAGGGATTCATCTTTTGGCTGCAGAATAAAGAGAAAGAGATCTGGGCTGAGAAGAAAGCCATTTATATGGAAATCCCTTATGTATTCACATGATGTTGTAATAAAAAATTCCTGAACACCAACACTGAAAAATGTTGGGGTTTCTGCTGACTTTGATGCAGTCTGTCAGAAACACGGTGCTTCTGTTTTGAATCGATGATCTTTTCAGGTGTAGATTGATACGTTATTTGCTGCGCTGCGGGCAGAACAGAAACATTTATGTCCTCTTCCTCCTTCCTCCTAAAAGTCAAACTATAAATTCAGGTAGTCCTCACCCTGCAGCACGTATCCCTCCTGATTACGTGCTCAAACGAGAAGTGTCAGACCGAGGCTGTATCCTGAACAGAGGGATTGCTAATGAGATCCACTTCATCACAGCTGTCTTTCTGTTTGAGTGGATCCAACTGTGTCATAATCACGCTGAAGAGAAAAGAGAAGTGAGAGAGAGAAAAATAAAAAGATAACTCAAGGATGGACATTGTGCGAATACGCACACAGTATCTTAAGCAACAGCAACCAGCCTGCTCGTGACTGGCTCTCTCTCATCATCTGTCTCATTAACCTCATTTCACTGGTAAATTACCTGTGTGTGGCAGCCACTTGGTGGGATTACACAACTATAATGAGAACTGTACATCTGTCGGTGAAAACCTCTTGCTGTGCCGTATTTTTCTGATTAGGCTGAAGCAGACGCCAACAGAAAAAAACCAAAAAAAACCAACCTCTGACATGCAAATTTGAGCATTTCCACTCTGAAGTGGCACCAGCATTAGCATGTTGCTGAACACCCCAATCCCATGCAACACTTCACTTTGAAATCAAAAGCCTCCAAGCTTCAGATTTATCAGTTAAACTTTGCTAAAGTGACGCTTGTTTTTCCGTCTTAACAACGGAAGTGTTAAGGTGGAATTTCACACAGCCTGCATCCAATCTTTAACGTGACAGTCTGCGATGAGTTTGGCATTATGTAAATAGCAGCGACCGGTGACTGCACGACTGTTTTACACGGGCTAATTACGTATAGCGCAGCGTACACCTTAATGCATCATGCTCCAGTTATGCTAAAGCCTGATAAGCCATGCTGTCGCCTCTCACGTGCAGTAGTTCATTCAGTTTGCCCCCCCCCCCTCCTCCCTTCCCTAACTCTCCTGTACTTTCTGTCTGTTTCACTTTCACATGTGCACAAACATACAGTACACACTCACATTTGCACACACACACACACACTCACTTACACACTCAGCGAAGGCATTTTGAACCCAGTCCTGCAGACATCTGTGCCACAATCATTCTGGCTCACTGAGTGGATTCTCAATTACACGCTGGAGTAGCGTTACACTGCCGTATTAAGAATTCAAATTTGGGCCACACTGAGTGAGTTACTTGTGAGCGCTGAAAAATGAATGACTCTTTGGAGAAACACGTGAAGTGCCAGGGCTCGTCATTTTGCTATCAGATTAATGTGTAATCAAGGAGGAAGCGGGCCACTGCGGCCGGCAGCTTCTCTGCTCCCCGGCCAAAGCGGTGACATTTTGTATGTGCTCTTAGATGCCCCGAGTCACTTTTGAGGATTACCAAGAGGAAGGGTGAGTGTGAGCTACTTGACGCTTTCTGACAAAATTGCTGAGTTCAGCTCAGTTCTGCGTGTCAGCTTGTGCTCTGTGCTTTTGAATTCATTTTCTAGGGGCTGACAGGCGTGAGGAAACTTCACAGTGTTTCCTCTTCCTTAAGAAGTCTTTCATTATACGAGGACA